GTAGATTTACTTTATAGGTATTATTATTATTATTTCAAGAATATGGAATGGTCTGTTTTTTATTGAAATCAACTTAGGTTTTGTTTGTTTAGGAAACTTCTTTCCATTTCATATTCATTAGTGCTTATGATGATGCCACTATTTCTCCATTAATCCTTACAACAAGTGAAGATATCAAGACATACTAAGATTATCATCGAGGATATTAAAATTAGTTTTGCAAAAGGCCAATATGATAAGGATGATTTTCTTGAATTGGCCTAAATTTCTATAGGTTTGGTTTGATTAATGATAATTTTTCAAGAAATTTTGACCTAGTTCATCCCCATAATCTCAATACAAAATTTAAGAATAAAAATCATGCATACTCAATCTAGTGTGTCACATTCATTTATGCATTTTATTTATTTATTTTATACATATGTCAAATAAGTGTAAAAAGAACTATGGGTTGTCATGTGAAAGTTCAACTTCCCCTTAAAGTTCATAACAGTAAATCTAGAAAGAGATAAATGGAGAATAAAAAGAAATCACACCTAAAACAAAACAACTAAAAAGAGGTAGAGTTTGAAATTAAAGGTTGCTAGATTCATTAGCTTACTTGAACAAGTGCTACAAGTTATACCATTAGAGGAAGGGACCTTCAATTAAGGACAAATTCAAACAAGATTGCCACTTTACCCTAATACGTAGCTAGTGCCATAAATGTCATTAAGGCTATTTGTTTTTATCCCGCCAAAACATGAGGCATTAGACACTTTTTTAGAGTTCTAATAGACAATGTATTCCCCATTCATGAGTGTGTCGTAAGCACCACAAACGTGGATTGTCATAACTGTTGACCTCACCACTAAAGAAAAGAGAGTTATAATGGAAAAAGGCTAGACTCTATAAAGTTATCTACAATGAAAAAAAAACTTTAAGTGATAAAAATTATGATGACTCTATAGACATTATTATCCAAGACTGGAACTTTTAAGGTGTTGGCTTTAATGGTGAGAGTACATGAAAAAAGACTTTTTTTTTCTTGAACTTATTAGTTTGAATATAAAGCATATACTTAAAACTCAGTCAAGAATATAAACACAATATAATCTTAATTTTTAGAAATTGCTCTAAAAATATATTCTAAAAATTGTAAAACTATTCATAATCTAAAGAATGATCATTTGTCATCCTTCAATTCTTATACAAGGTTGATAAGAAAGGGAGAAATTAATGCAATAATCCTTTATTTTGTCATGTTTAAAAATCAAGTATTGCTAATCGTCAAAAAATGGGTTCCATATCATTTTATTGATTTTTTACTTTATATAGTAAGATATTAGATAAGTGGCTTGCGTTACAACTTCTAGGTTGTAGGAGACTTTTGGCAATGAGTAAGTTAGTTTTGAAATTATTGCACATGTGCGGCGTGGTGGTGATCAATCCATTCTCAGGTATTGTATTTATTTGGAAAATATAGAGAGATAAGAAATTTTTATCTTTTATTAGTGAAAAACTGGAATGGGAGTCGCCACCTAGTATTTTGGTTCTAGGAACCCTTTTCAAAGATCAAGCACGAGGACTGGTTGCATAGAGGAAAGATATTAGCATCCAAAAAATGTTCTACTTAAAGTAAACTGCTTTGTTTAATTGTCTAATAAAAAAAACTAAGGCCTTGTTGTTTTTTCTAATTGTTGATCCATCTATGGTTTAAAAAAACTCTTCAATGATAAGGAGGTCCTTATCTTACCCGGTAAAATCAAACCATTTTAACGTCAATAAAAAAAAACTACCTTTTTAATATCAAGAATATGTCTTATGTATAAACTTATAATCCTTAATATTAAAAAGAAAACAAAATGAGTTTTTTAGAATTTTTGAAATATTGGTCTAGTTCTCATAACTTTCATAATCTGGTTGTTCAAGTCAAAATGCATGCGAAAATATATTTTTTGTAATTTTCTTTATATGACAATACAATATGATTTTTTTTTAAAGACTTGGTCGTATGCATGAAAACAAGATATTTTTTTGTTTTATAATTTTTTAAAATATTTTAATGAAAACCAGGTATTTTAATATTAAATTTGTATCTTTAAGGTATAAAAATACAAACCAATATTAATCAAAATGGATAGAAAAACACCCAAGAAAATCAAAAAATTTCAAAGATATTTTTTGGAACTTTTTTTTAACTAAGTCAAACTTGGTCTACTCATTTTAGGCTAGGCTGGATAGTGAATAATGGAGCACTCTCCACTATTCACGTGCAACGTGAATAGTGGAGACGGGGAGCAAATGAAGAAGGAAGAAGAGAAGGGCAAGGGGGAAACAGGTCGAGTGGTTCCTCTTAGCGGTGTTATTGGTGGCGATGGTGGTCACATTGCAATGGGTTCTTCTTCTTTTCTCTTCTATTTCTCCCGGTTTCTTCTACTCTATTCGTCTCTTATTTTCTCTTTGTTCCACTATCTATTCTTGGCAATGTTCTTCCCTCTAACGGTGGTGTTGCTTCCAATGATGGAGAGAGAGAGAGAGAGAGACTAGAAAGAGAAAGGTTACTATTCTCCTCCTATGTTCTTTTGTTTTTCTAGTCTTTCCTTATATTCTCTCGTCACCTCCTATCCTCATCTATCCTCAATGACGTTTTGGGCAGACAAGAGAAGATAAGGATTATCACCAAGTCAAAAGTTGGCCACCCACTTATCAATTAGTCATCAAATCAATAGTTCCCAATTTTGGCCTATAAAAGGAGACATTTGCCATGCATTTAGGCATCTTGGTGTTCAGATCAAGATCATGCTCTTCCTTTCTCTCTTTGTATTTTTTATGCTTTGTTTTCATTAATATTAAGTTTATGCCTTTCATTTCCTTTCCTTTACTTAGTTAACTTTTATGTTCTTATTTTGTTTATCTATTTTGCTTTCTTTCATTATGTCTAGCTAAGTTAGTTATGTCAAGGTGAAAAGGTTACACTAATGGTGTAAGAATAAGTATAATGTAAACTTAATATGGACCTTAATGTTTGATACTAACATGTTTTATATTTGTTATCTTGTTCACTCTTTAATACTTTGCTTGTTAAATGACTAATCTTGATTTATGTTGTATAACACTTGGTACAACAAATGCTTGGCACTTTCATAGCCCATAATGTATGGTATAACCGACACCTGAGCTATGAAAGGAACTTGATTTATTGTTAACATAAGTTATAATCATGAATGCTTGACGAGATTTACAAGTATTAGCATTAATTGAATAAGATGACTAATGTAATCATGTTAACAATATATAATCTGATTGGAACCTCCTTTGTGTGTGGTTTCCAATTCAATAATAAGAGTTTATACTATACTTGTTTGATATACCATTAGTGGAATCAATCTTTTCGTCGTGTCAACAACGTTGTTTCAATTTTTTTTTTAAGAAAAGAAAATGAATTTGGGAATGACTAAAAAATTGGTTATGACAGAAACCTTCCAACCTGATCACTTATCTAACAAGGGAATGAAACTATTTAAGAGGTTCCTTGAACTAACACAATCGACCTATTAGGTTTTTTTTAAAAAAAACCAAATGAATAGTGTAGATTTGGTTTAAAGACAACCGTAATAGATCCACTGAGTTCAACAATTTTGTTATTTCTAAGACTATTTTTTGTTTAACTCCATTAAAAAAGAGAGTAAAATAGTAAAGATCAAATTTTAAAGGATGAGATTGTAAAAAAAACTATATATATATATAGAAAAAATCATAGTTATAATCTTGGATCGACCTGACAAATTGACCTAAGACTCGAACAATTAGGGCATTAACCGATCTGGGTTGAAGAAAATATGAAAAGAGGGATTGACCCGGGTTGATCTGGTCAACCTAGCAAAACATGCTTAATAACTCGTTGACATTATTTTTTGAAAAAATTATTTTTTTATTCAAAATGACTTTATTTTGATATCTTTTTTTTAAAAAAAAAATGATAAACTCGGGGACTTAGATTGGCCCAGTTCAACCTCTTAGTCAAGTCTAATATCTTTTGAAAAAATCAAATAAAAAAAAAACAAAATGGTTAGGTGTGTGGACCTAGAGCAAACCCACTCGCCTTCCTCTTATAATTTTTTCTTTTTAGTTAGGGCAGATGTCATGTCACCCTATCTATTTTTTAAGAAAAAAATAACATAAACAATATGTCACCCACTAAATAAACACATTTTATGCTCTTAAATTAGCATTTAATTGGTTTGAAAACAAAAAGTCCACCCAAACAAAAATAAAATAAAATCCTGAAGTACTATTTTAAACAAGAAAAAAGAAAAACAAAAAACCTAAATAAAATTCTCATTATCTATTGAAATTTGTTATAATCAAGAACGACTTGTTTCATTGTCAAAAAATAGATATTTATCAATTTCTTCTTTATCCACTGTAATTCAATGAATATCTTCTTTCTAAAACATAAGAATTAAAATACTAGAAAAATAAAATTTTGAATCAAATCATTTAATCTCCAAACTTTTTAATTAATAAAAAATAACCGTTGCCAAAACATGAGAAAATTTATGAAAATATTGACATGATTGTTTTCTTTAAGAAAAGAGCTTATAATTGTTTTATGATTGTTTTTTGAGACAATTTTAGTCTCTTTATTTTTTTTATTTATAAACAATAAAATTATATTATTTTTTATTAAATTGAACACCAAGACAATTGCGAAATTGCGAAATGGTTGTTTTTAGAATAGATTAATTGCATATAAAATAAAACCAAAACATACTATCAACTCCAAATTTGAAAGAACAAAAAAAGCTTCTTATTGCTCATTACTTTCAATTTTCGTCCTTTTTCCATTAATTTCATATAAACAATGAAATTAATTTTTCTTTTAATGAAATTAAGTACCAACTCTATGTCAAGATGGTTTTAAAAAACAATGATAATCATCTAAAACACAAATTAAATAAATAATCATTGCAAAACTCTAATTAACACAACATCACATCATAAACTTCAAAAAAAAAAATCAATAACAAAAAAGGGGTCAAATCTCATAAAAATAAAATTATAGCAGCTCACTAATGCACGGTGAAGAGCTGGATTCTTTTTTCCCCTTGTGGGGGGAGGAGTTCATTGAAAGAGTGGTAGAAGAGATCAGGTCATCTACGAGCATTAAAAATAAAATAAAAAAGGAAGGGCCAAAACTGCTAAACTGGTAGTGAAACTAGGGATAAGAGGGGCAACTAAAGCTGTATCAATTCTGGGATGAGCTTTAAAAGAAATGAAAGCTCCATCTGTGAGAATTGAGGCTTTGATTTTACTTCCATTTCTCCATCCCCTTCCGCTAGACTCTCTGCTTCTCCCATCTCAGATGGCTTTATCAAATCAGATACCGCTTCAGTAATTTCTTGAACCAGATCAACTATCACTCCATCTATACCCATTAAATGTTGCATGTAAACAGCTTCTGATACATTACTGCAAAACAAGAAAACAGAGTCAGCACCTTGAAAATTGACATTTGGTTGTGTTTTTTAGCAGACAGGGCCATGCTTGCTGACATTGTTTGACCAAGCATGGCCATGTCCAAAACATATTATTATTATTATTATTTATCAGAAACATGTGTGTAAGAGAAAATAAAGTCCTAAGATTCAAACACTCACTTCAGTTTTCCGTAAGTTAGAAGAGAAAGGTTCGCATCCTTGATCTTGTTCACTGCCCCAGGATTTCTAAAAACCCCTTTGACCTCCGATACAATCCCCTGCAAACCACCCTCCAAGCACACCTTTATAGCCTCCTCCAAGGAATTTCTCCTTACATCATAGAAAATCTCAGTACCCCCATTTGTCAAAAAGTAAACCTGTAATGCAATCGATAACAATCATCAATGCAAGATAAAGGATGCCATGCTTACTTACGAACACGAACACAAAAGTGAATGATCAAAGTTTACAACTTACAGGGAAGGTGCTCTGCATTTTTCTGACAAGCAGTGCCGCATCAGGTTGGAATGATGAGAAAAAAACAGGCCTATCCTTACCATGATCAAATACCACCTAAACCACAAAATTAACTCACCAATTAAGAAAACTCTCATAGTATACATGCTTGAACCAGCACGCATTATTTGTTTTAAGCTAAAAAAAGCAGTCTTGATCAAGAAAATATCATCTATATGCACCTGCAAGATGGCTTGAAGAACACGAATGAGATAATCTTGCTGGTAGACAATGTGGTCATCAAATTTTAATTCAATGTTAAAGCCAAGTGAGGGCTCCACTTGTTGAAATGCATCTTGCAAGGTGCATAAGGAGTCATCGTTCTCTACATTCCATTCCAGTATTTTTCCTTCTTTAGTTTTCCTGAGTAAAGATTTGCCAGCCCTTCCTTCTTTCTGGGGTCCGAAGCATAGGAATTCAGATAGGCAAAGTTCTGTCACCCTCTTCTCAAAAATAGTGCCCTGAATTTACAAATAAGATCATATCCATGAGTTTAATTAGCTAAAAACATTTTGTTTCTAAACAATGAAGCCGAAAATAGAGAGTCCAAAAGGATCAAAGACGCTTACATTATCTTCAGAGAGGATGAAGGTGTCATGGAAAATGACTGGGCAGTCATCTTTTGTCACCTACAAAAACGACAGTTCGTTTTTTTCACTTTTTCTTGTCTTTGCCTCATTCAGCTCCATACTTTTATTTTCAATTCTATTTCTATTTTATTTCTTCAGAAACAAAAAATCATACCCATCAAAAATAAACACAATCAGTTCAATATCCTCCCATCATAAAACTAAAAACTGAGAGAAAAGGAAATAACAAAAGATTAAGAGATCAGTAGAAATTGCATTTAAAACAATATTTTTTTATTTTTTAAAATTTATTTTTAATATAAAAATATCAAAACAGGCTAAAAATATTTTTAAAAAATTATTTTTTTCCTTAAAAAAAAAATCTTCCACAAATAGCGTTTTCGCTGCCAAACGGTATGCGGCGTCCAACAACCAACAAGTCAACAACGTCAAAGAAACAACACCCAGTTTGGCAGATTCAAGTTCCAAATATCTCAAAATCAAAGAGTAAGTCCCAACAAACATTAAAAACAAGATTTTTATTTATATTTCAGTCTAGAACAAACTAAGAAGAGAAAAGGATATAAAGAAGTAATTATACCTGAACATCAAATTCGATGAAATCAATGGGGTGTTTGGCAGCGCTATTAAAAGACATAATGGAGTTCTCTTTAATCTCTTTCATCCTACCATCTGTTGATTGCAATACATTCATTCCATTCCCTCTATGTCCAGCCACCATAAACTTTGGCATCTTGAACGTAGCTGCTCTATTCATCTCAACTCCTACAGAAGGAAGGAAAGAAAGAAAAATCAAGCCCACACCAAGAAAACATCAAGAAACTCCAAGAACCTTCTCTTTCTGACAATTTACCTTTGGAGAGACGAGTTGAGTAGAGAGAAAGAGAGGCATTCTCAGGGACGTGGTCAAGATTGGGAACATCAGAGACATGAACAGCTTTAAGAGCCATGCTATGCAAATATTATACTCAGCTGAAGAAGACAGCAATGGGGCGGGATATAGAAGGGATTTTGGAGATTGTTGCGAAGAGAAGGGATTGGAGAGCGGTTTATATAATCGTGTAGAGGAGAGGAAAAGAGTTGGATCTCCGCGTAGAATATTCCAAAATTTTGCATTGTCATATCCTTCTCGGATATTTCTAAATCCTCTGCTGCGTGTCTTAAGCCTCTTCGGATTATAAAAGTTTCTTTTTCCTTATATATATAATTTTACTGCTTAATTAATTTATTTTTTCTCCTCCATAGTCAGATTTAAAAGTATGTGAATTTATATATATAATGGATGGTCGAAAAACCCACCCGCCCACCGGTAATCTGGTCTTCTTCTTCGGCTACAAAAATCTTCCAATCTAAACAGCCATAAAAGAGAATAAAATCCAGACAGTCATAAGAGGAAAACAGAATTAAGACAAAAATCTTTTTGCCTTTATGAACAAAAAAGAATATCCAAGGAATATGCTTGCCAGATGCCAGAAAAGATTATGCTACGGCATGACAAGAAGTAGCGCCCAAGGTATGGATGGAGGCTCGTGAAAGTCAAGACAGTCATGTGATTTGCCCAGTTCAATTAAATTAATTGGGATTTGGTTTAATTAAATTTGATTGATTTCACGTTCAACTCATGAATTAATCCTCCTAATTAAGATTCTATCCATTTATTTTTTTAATGAAGTTATATCATTTTATTAAAAAATAAAAATAATATTTTTTAAAATTAATACAAATTAACTCATTTAATCTGTATCCCGAGTTTTATATCTACTTTAATATCTTAGATGATAAGTTATAATATAAACGGTGAGTGTACAATGAGGAGGAGCCAGCAGGCCATGGATGGATAAGGGATTAATAATGGCGAGAGTATATATAGATGATGTGTAGCCACGGTGGACTTCTGTGTCAAGATTCGTGCTTTCACTAAAAATAACTTCAACGAGCAGATATATATCTCTATTTTACATCATTTTGCATCTTATTTTGTTGAGTTTGTGGTGGCATACTCAACCCAACATGACACCCACCACGTTTTAGTTATATACTTAGATTATTGATCAGTAACGGGTAGAATTATTTTTTTAATATAAAAAATTATTCAACTATTGCTAATAAGTTTTATAAAAAAATCATCAATTCAAAATATATTTTTTTAAAAAAATATTGATAAGGTGACATATTAAATAATATTTATTTTCAAATATTGAGACAACAAAATTGAATCTATCCAGATTAACTTATCAAATTTTTAATTTCGATAATGAGTTCATGATAATGTTATATAACAACATATCAAAACAAATTATACAGGTCGGTTTCTAGTTAATCTAATATTGAATGATGAAAAAAATAATATTAAATTAAAATAAAAAAATAATTGGGTCAATTCAGGTTAACTTGTTAATCCAGTAACTCAGGTTATAAGATCAGAATAACCTCATAGAAAGAAAATAAAAATCAAATCAAATTACAAAATTAAAATTTCAACTAATCCAATATTGAATAATGAAATTAAAAAAAAAACTCAAGTCAATTCAAGCTAAGCTGTTAAACTTATAATTTGGATTATAAGACTGAGATAACATTATAAAAAGTAAATAAAAAAAATTACAAAGCTCTATTACTAATAGATCCAATGTTAAAGGTTGCAATTGAGAAAAAAATTTAAATCCATAAAACTGGGATAACTCCATAAAAAACATATTAAGAAAATGATGCTCAATTACCGAATATTTTAATATCGAAGGATGAAAATAAAAAAATTAAATAAAAAAATGATGATTGAGTTGTTGGACGGGAAAATTAAGAAATAAAATTCAATTAAAAAGAGATTAAAAAATAAATCAAGTCAACCCGAGTTAACCTGTAAAATTAACATCTTAGGTCATGAAATTAGAATAACCCCATAAAAAATAAAAAAATTACGAAGATTAATTAAAAAATATCCAATTGAAAAAGAACCCAAAAACAATAAATATAATCAACTTGGGTCAACCTGTTAATCCGCACTTTTAAGTACTAATCAATAACCCTATAAAAATAAAATCAGAAAATAAGTTATGAAGTTTAATTTTCAATCAAATCAATTTTTAAAGATGAAATTGAGAAAATAATCAATTACAAAAAAAAAATCCAAAAAATAACGTGAATCAACCCAAATGAATCTGTTAAACTCATTACCTAAGTCTTGGTATCAATATAAATTCATAAAATACAATAAAAAAAATATAAACCCTTACTTCCAATATAGTTGATTTTAAAGGTTGAAATCAAGAAAAAAAAAACTTTCAAAAAAATAAAACAATAACTTGCTTGAATTGTTTAAGTAACTCCAATACCTTTAATGATTATTATGAGTTTTTCTTTCTATATTTTTCAATTTTGATTATTGATTGAGCATGGTTGAATTATTACCATTGAGTATAAATTTGAAAGTATTTCATCAAATGAAAATTTAGATTTCTTTTATCAAAAAGCCAAAACATGTTATTCAAGTACCATAATGTGATTTTTTTTTTGGTATATGATAAAATAAGTATTGGTTATGATGGTATAATAGAATAATTATTATGAGATATTGATTATGAATAGATCAAATAGATTCTCTAATAAAAAAAAGTTATTTTAGAAAGAAAATGTTGAATTTCAACATATGATTTTTAGCTTTTTAAACAAAGAATGTTGAATTTCAACATATGATTTTTAGCTTCTTAAACAAAGTCAGGTATCTACTTCAAATATGTTGATTTCTTATTTCTTGATGAGAACTCATAATTCAATATTGTAAAGAATGTTATTCAACACACAAATATGTCATAATTTTGATTGAAAAACAATTTTTTTCTCTATTTAGAGAGCAATACTTATCAATACAAATAAATTATTTTTTTATTATAAAAAGGGTTATAAAAACAGGTAACGTGGATAAAAATTTATATTTACAAAAAAATAGAATATGTGTGTTTAAATCTTTTAAGCTTTTTATAATTTTAACATTTTAATTGTTAATCTCACCATAATCTCTATTCTCTAAGTTTTATCTCATCTATTGTCATTAAAAATTGTCTTTAATATTAAATTTTGGATCATCACTAGAGATATTTTAGAAAGTTTTTGTTTTTCTTTTTTTTAATCACTTTTTCATCATTTTATTAATCTCTTTTGCAATACTTTTTATCCGTTTCACTTTTTTTTCATTTCTTTTTATTGAATTATTATGTTAAAATTCCAAAACACACCTATAATATGAGAGGTGATCCTAACCTAAGTTATTATCCAAGAAGTATTTAAGGTTCATAAAGGGATAACAAGGTAAATATTTTTATTTATGAATGAGATATGAAAGATATATTTGTTTCATCTCAAATGAAAATATGTTTATATTAATAAATCATAATTGTATACAAATCACTATCAATAGGGAAAACCTTAAGATTATCCTTAGAGAATAAGTGATAAGATAGGTGGGACTACTACCCGAATGCATATTATTTATCATTATTTAAGTCACTAAATCATTTGATTTTATTATAAGCATAACTATATAATTTCAAACAAGATTTTCTTTTCTTGATGTTTATTGGAAGTGAAAAAAGTAATTTTATGAATAAATAAGAGATTTTCAAAACTTTATCTTTTTAGGTTTGCTGGGAGAGGACATATTATTATTCCTTTTAATGTTTGTTAGGATTTGAAAAGAAGATTTTGTGATTCATAAATAACAATTGAACATAAAAGAAAAGAGCACAATTTAAAAGATGTAATATAGTCCAAATAAAAAATGAAACATGGCAGATGACTACATTTATAATTTTTAGGTATTTATTCTCTAATTGTCATGATATCTTTGTTTAATTCATCAAAAGCTAATATAAAATTCTTTATTTTACCTTCTTTTTTTATATATAGAATCAATTGCATCATCTACTCATCATTAATATAACTTCACATCTTGGTTTTGATTTATAACTAGCATGAAACCTTTTTTAGATTATGTTATATTCACTATTTTTCTATTCAAATGATAGTCATTCATGCCAAAAAAAAAATTGTTAATCTACTTTTTAAATCATAATAATGATTTATTAAAACAACTATGATTCTTGCGTGATACATACATCTAGTATTTTTGTTGAACCATATAGGAAAAACTATTTGGATGGGTTTCAATGGTGAAGGTATTATTTGATAGTCATTCACAAGATGTTGATGAATGTTATTGAAAGAAACTAGAAAGAGAAATGATTCTTCATGGTGTTTTATTTTTTTACGACCTGGGTCTTATATATTTTAAGTAGCGTCATATTTAGTCTAACATAAATATGGTGAATGTATTTAAAGTGTTTGAATCTTATGCTAAAATATAGTATTTTACGGGATTGAAAAATATGCACTAATGGTTAAATTTTGAGGTGTTGATCTTGAGAAAAATTTAAATGATATAACTAAGGTTTTGAGGCATATTCTTGAATGTTATTGACCTGTGGGTTTATTTTAGTTGTATTGTCTTCAACAATTATTCTTTTATCCATCCATCTTAGATTATTTTTTCCTTTATTTAAAGTTCCTTCAACTACAATCATTATATTTGATAATTGCCTTGAAGTGTTGCAAATCATACATTTAAAATAAAACATCTTGAAAGTGTTTATGAAAATAAATATAATTTGAAATAAAACATCTTGAAAGTGTTTATGAAAATAAATATAATTTCCTTTTTAAATGGAGGAGGGTTAACTTAAGCAACAATTTCTTGTTATTTTTTAGCATATTGTTTAACAACTTCATTAATTATTTTCTTAGTATTTTGCAAGGTTACTTTATCAAGAATCAAGTTTAGATTAGCTAATATGTTTTGATATAAGCCTTTGCCAAATCACTTTATTTCTTGATTATGGTTTTATTAAAACTCATGTAATAACTAAGAGCGGATCCATCCAAGCAATCATGGAAGTGATATATCATTGTCATCATGAATTACCTTGGCTATTTTGGCATAATAATGCCTTATATAAAACAAAAAACATTAAGATCTAATAAACTTGTTGATTTAAACCTTTAGAAATTACAACAAAAAAAACCAGATACATCTCAATAGCTTTAACAGGGTTATATAAATCTTTTTCGTTGTTATCCATTCTTTAATCGAATAATAC